TTTATTGCATCATCCCGCTTACGAATATGTTGTAAAAATAAATTATATATGATTCGAGAGAGGGAAGCAAAAGCTCTATATTTTGATAAAAAACGTTTTCTTTCAGCACCCTTCTATTGAAGAGAATTAAGGACCAATGTTTGTCCTGTTACTTTCGCGTCACACGTTATGCCAACAAAATACGGAAAACAATTGTACTACCAAATTTTTGGATTTAATTGAAAACGATTGATCTACGATATTTAAGGTGACAAATGATAAATGGCAAACTGTATTTCATGAAACAGAAAATGTGTATTACACACAACTTGGAGAGAATCAGTAGCATAAACGATAAACAGACACTGCAGACGGCATTAATAATCTAAAATTTTCACGGTAAGAATTTATGTCTGAAATCAACTAGAAAATAATTCAAAATTTCTATGTTCTATAGGAGAGATTTATTTGTGTGATCTAAAAATATCCATAAGTGTATAAAGTTCTATCAGAATCTATCCAATAGTGTCAAATCTCTAAATTGAATTCAGTTATTGAGAATCTTTTCAGATGATCTATAATTGAATAATCAAACTCGGATATTCAGATATTCAATAATTCATTAATTTCAGACATTCGAATGTATGTGAGATATACCTTATGTGTTGTGTGGCATATTTTATGGCTTAAATTATGGTAAACTCTAGTAGATCGTGATAGATCCTACCAAAAGTACTGATAGAAATTAATAGAAACTGGATTTTTTTTTTGAACTCATTTTCGTCATATAATGGGAGATAATTTGAAAATTGCACTATTGATATGAATTTTTTTTTCATATTTTATTGAAATATCTGTGAAGATTCCAATAAAAAAAGATGTCTTTCGTGTATCTCGAACTACAAGATTATGAAAATTTTTAGAAAAGTTTGAATAAAATAGACAATTCTGAAAATATCATAGAATTAATATTGGATCATCCTGACGAAACAGACAAAGCAAATTCTAACAAATTCATTCAAGACCTATGTTAGTATGTGAACTCACGAATAATTTATTCGTTTACGGCATAGTACTATTCAAAGATATAGAAAAAAAATTCTTTAAATCTAACATAATCCTTTATCATAGACGAACGAGATCTTTTTTGTGTACTCAAAAAGTGAGTACACTCTAGAATCGGTCAGTGTGTCCGGCCGTCCGTCCGTTTACACGATATCTTCCGAAAGGAGAGTCCGATCGCGATGAAATTTTCTGCATAGTTCAGTCTTTACAATATCTCGGTCGAGTTCGAAGATGAGAAGGATCGGCCGAGCCGTTCCTGAGTTATTGCAAAAATACCCATTTTTCCCTATGGCTTCCTATGGGAAAATCGATCCATCGCCACTTTCGTAAAAGACTTTTCCTATCATTGTTAATTAAAACCCCAACTATTATATACCATTCGATAGAGAATTTCAAGAGCTACAAAATGATATATAAAACATTAAGAAAGAAGAAGACTAACTCACCTATTGGTAAGATAAATAAGCGGAAATCGGTTCGGTTTTTGTGCACGCTCCAATCGATCCCTGATAGGAACTCTATCTTCCGATTATAGAGGTGATAATTGAAGGTTTTCTAGTATGGAGAACTCGAATCTGTACTGCGCACTCGCCTCGAAGGCCCATTGGTTGAGCATTGACCAATAGAAATCAAGTTATAGGAAAAACGACTTTCTGAGGCTAATTTAATCCGAAGAGTTCAAATCCGAGCTGTATACGCTTCCAAGTCCTATTGATTGAGCAGTAGCCAATGGAATTCAAGGGTTTATAGAAAGGATTTGCCAGGCAAATTTTTATATCCAGACATTCCAAGGTGACCGATTTGTCTCATTTACTTTTTGAAGTACACATACTCTCGGATATAAATCCGAGATTTCCGCATTTTTTTATAGGTTTTTAAAATAAAAGATAAAAATAAAGAATAATATAGCAGAAAAATAAAAATTTTTTTCGACAAATAAGCAGAAAAAGTAGATATTATAAGAAAACATGTTTGTTGATTAGATCTATATAATAATTACGTGACTTTATAACTGTCTCTCTAACATACATTTTCTTTCTCAAACTTTATTTCTTTCTATATTCACTCACCTAGATAATATTGTGAAAAGATACGTAACTGAGAATAAGAATCTCGATGACCAACCTTCAAGATTTGTACACTTTGTCGGAAGGTATCGAGCATACTAGTGCAGCAAAGTTGAAAAGTTGACAAAGTTGTCGCATAAAAATCAATGGATTTGTAACAATAAGTCTCTAATAACCGGCTGTATCGTTGACATTTGATTGAACCAAAACTTTTGATTGCTTCGACATTAGTCAAATGTTTCCAAATAATTAAAACAATCTCGTTGGGTAAAGAAGTGAAATGAGTTGGTACTATGTATGTACTATTCATTATAAGTCAAAGGTAATTTAATATTCAACAAAATAAATATAAGAGCAAACAAAATATACATTTATGAACAAGATCATTCAAGTGTGTCGAATATATTCTTATTCGTGTCGCATAACAACGAACAGAGAGAGTAGATTGTTCATTATGAGTAAACAAGAGACTGCCCAATATGCTAACTGTATTTTGAATTAATTCAATTGATCAGGAAGATTCTAGGAATTAATAGGAAGATCAAGATAAAGAATCTTAGTTGATCTTCAATCTTCATTTACGGTTTTTTTTACTCCGCTTTTTTACAATAGAGGGCGATATGTGCCAAAAACAACGATAATGTCTCAAGTAATTGTGCTAATATCTATTTCGAAATTATATAACTGAATATGATTAATTTTATGTTATAAGTTAACCCTTTCTTGCCTTTTGGTCCTTAGAGGGATCATTTTATAAAAATTTCATTTCTTCAAACTATTAGATATTTGGAAACAGATTTTAGATTCAAATTGTTGATTTGAAGTCTACAATAGAGAGGCTTTAAGTTGATATAAAATCTCTTTCTAAATATCTAATAGTTCAAGGAAAGTAAATTTTTATAAAATAGTCTCCTCTAAGAACCAAAAGGCAAGAAAAGGTTAATTTTCAACTTTCACATCATACTTCAAGTATGTCTTTATTAACATTCGTTCCAGTACTTACAAGTAGCGTTCATCGAGAATCGATTCACTTTTTTCCCTAGACTGAGAAATTGATATGTAATTGTTATTATATAAGGAAAATATGACCCAATAAAGTTTTACATGTGTATAAAAAGCTGATTTTTATAGTTACAAGTGAATAGCTTAATAAAAAACCGAATATAGAAATATGTATGAAGTAAGATTAATACATACGTGAATACACAAACAATGATTTTGAACATTACATATATGCAAAGAGTTGTTTGATGGGAACTTTTGTTTGTTTTTATTTCTATTATTACTTAATAATTATTAATATATATATATATATATATACAGTAAATTAGTTTTATTAATCATTTAAAGTTTTTATTTATTATTTTTTATTCTTTATAATGATTTTGTTGAAATCAAATTTTTTTTGTAAATCACAATGATCGTGATTGAAAAAAACCTGTATTTTTTTTTATGACGAGGAATCAGTTAATATATTTCTTTCAAGTTTTAAATAATATACCAAACTTTGTAAATGTTTACAAAGCGTGCTAAGTTCAAAAGAGTTTGAATTATTTTGATTTAAAAATTTAAAAATATTATATACAGTTATAAGTTCACAACCGATATTATCATGGCGATGTAAATAGAAATAATTATTAAATTCATTTATAAATTCGTATAGTTGATGATATTTATCAGCTATATTCATATCTGATGTGTTCATACTTATAATATTTATTAAACCATTACTAACCTTATTAAGTTCATCATAAGCTTTACATATTATTGAACAATATACTTGAAAGTGGTTCACTTCAATTCGATCGGTAATTTTTTGTTTACACCAGTCACAGTACTCTGATAATCTCATTTGATAAAAGAGTACGTTATATCTTTAAAATTTAATGAAATTTACAAATGAATTAAATTTAATTAATAATTTAATATTATGTATATAATTACGCGCGTTATAAGTAATCAGTGAAGAATAAAAATATAATTAATATGACTTATAGAAAGTTATAATGGAAAAAACGTATTATATAAAGAAATTTTTGAGTTAATAGGAGGTCTATATTGATATAAATTTTTTATATAATAGAAGTTAAGTTATATTAAAAGAAATATTTTACTAAACAGAGCTATGTTTTTTTTTGAAGTTATTTTTTATTTTATACTTTATTTTTATGAAAAATATGTTAAACATACGTATGGAACATTATAATTATCGAAAATCATAATTTTCGATAAATATTAACCAAATTTTCATTTTTTGATTTTTTTATTATGCTATAACTGAACATTTCGAGCATATAGATAACATTCAATCAAACAAATCAAGGGAAATCTTTTTTTTTATCTTCATTAAGTTAGAAAAAAATATGATCAATTTATTCATATTTTTTTTTTAACTTCCCAGATTACTCTATACATACTCCTGATAGGTTCTAGTTCCAATAAGTGTTCTTCTGAGCTGCCAAATAAATCCAGTTCAATCGACGAATTTTCTGTATTTGTATTATCGTTCATTTTTCAAATCGTAATTATAAAAAAAGGAATAGAATTTTTTTTATAACTAATTAATTTATATTAGCGCTACTTGTACTCAACAAAATTTTATCAGATTTATATTACTTTAACAAAACGATTGTTGTGTATATTTCCCTCTGTTCGATGCACAATTAGAAGATGTTAGAATGAGTAAAACAATTAATTTACATCTGATTATATTGGAAAAGAAACGTTTTCTTTTTACTTTGACATATTGTCAATATAAAAATCATCAACGTAGCTGATTTTATCTTTATATTAATTGCGTGAAAATATGAAACAAATAACGATTATTTTCTAAATAGAAAAGATCAATAAAATAGTTGATATTTTCTTCTAATTTTATTTCAAAAACAAAAACTGTGATAAATAATAGAAAAGAATATGTTGTTTGTCAAATAAATATTTCATTTTTTTTGTTTTTATATTCATTATATTCAATAAAAATAACTAAATAATGAACATTTATTATTTGTCGTAATTATTTATATGTTCAGATTTACTTTAAAAATTGTAATTTATTATAAAACAACTGAATAGTAAACAACTTGCAGATTTGTTCTTCGTTTTGATTTTTTCAATATCATATATAAAGAAAATCTTATTTTATTAGCTTTGCGCGCCATTCGAAATATATATTATTTTAACGATCATAGTTACCATATCGTAACCGTACGTGTTACAGACACACACACAGACAGACAGACACAGGTGAATTTCGGTTTCTAGACCCTATACTTTCAGTCTAGGGAATAATTCTACATAGAATGATTCAACGAAAACAATATCACACATCACTGATAACATTATCAAAAGGACATGAGATTAGTTTTATATGTATACAAAGCCTTAAACAAAAATCTAAGTCAGTGAATTGATATGTGACTTGAACCTATGTATTTATTATCGATGACTTTGTTTATGTCGAAAAACAAAATTAGCGAATTTGTTAGCCTCTATTTTGCTATTTAACTGAAACAATGTAATCATTTGAATGGAATAATTGTGAAATCCTCGTTATAAAATCCATCAATTTGAAGGAATTCGCACATAGTATCGATAAGCATCAGTAATTTAACGGTAGAATTCTCGTTTTCCATACGAGCCACTCGGGTTCGACTTCCGACCGGTGTATTCATTCTTTGTTTTTGTTACTCATATTATATTCTTTTTTATTCAAATATTACTTTTATTTATTGATCAGAACGAAAAGAAATATATTTTATGTTTTTTATGGATGATGCAATATCAATATAAGATGAATCATCCATTCATGTCAAGTTTTGACTACTTTTTTTTCTAAAACTGATGTAATACATAAATATACATGGAAATATATTCTTATGAAAAATAGAATCAATTGTTTCATTGCTTGACAAAGATATTATTAAATATTTTAATGACATAAAAAGGGAATTTCTTCATTTTATTTTGAAATTCATTTTTCCTATTAAAACAAGCTGCAGTTTAATACAATAGTGAATAAAAGTTGCGATCAAAACTTTTTTATTATATTTTCATCATTCAGTATTTCGGGAAGTACCTTCCATGCAATAAAAGCCAGCAAAACAACTATAACTCTCGAGAGGAAACCTGTAGACGTTTATTCTTGAAGGCACTTTATAGTTTCATTTACTTCCATCCATAGGAAAAATATGAGATCCGAAGGATTACATGACTTTGGACAGTTTTGTCATAAGTCTCTGCTATTTTTCATCGTATGACGTCCAATCAAATTTTTATTCAACAAAAATTATTCATTCGGAGTGTATCTATGTGTTTGATAGGTTTAGCCACAAATTCTATCAAGGGAGGAGTGCCATTAAGGCATGTTTTCGGCCCAAAAACCTACGATCTAAGACACATATATTCGGAATCAGTATCAAATTCTGAGTAGAATAGCGTTTAAAAAATGTTCAAAATCGAAAAAACAATTTTTCGAAAAATATGGTCTTTGAGGCGGGGTAGGGGAAAGTCGAAAAACTTTTTTCGCGCAATGTGACCAAAATAATGTCTAGTCCTACACAATAGGCCATGCTGATCACAAATATCGCAATTAGAACGTTCAATGATGGTTGACTGTCAAATGACAGCCAAAACAAAAAAAAGGTGTGGGTATGGGTGTGGGTCTTGCTCTTCTATCCATCCACACCCACACCCAATACTGTTCTTGGTTTATGGTTAAATCCAAAATATTCATATCAAGTTCACATCACAACAGAAATTTTATCAGGTTAAAAAAATTTTACCATTATCAAATAATATTGGTATAAAACAAAGTTCAAAATTATTTCGACAAGATTTTATTGAACATGAAGGCGCAGAATTTTTATTTAAATTATTACAATTATTAAATTATTTTATACATGATGATTATGAATATTCATTATGTCAAGAAATAACAATATTAATATTATAATTAATACAATTATTATTATGTGGAAATAATCAATCAGAAGAAATTATATTATCAAGATCAAATTCACCAATAGCTATAACAGCTAATGATAATGTACTTGATACAATTGATTTTGATTTTCAAGCAACTGTTGAACATTTACAATTTAAAGTTCATCAATGTGCATTGCGTAATATAATACGTTTATGTAAAATTGAAAGATCAGCATGTGATATAAGAGCTGTTATTCATAAAATATTACTAAAAGCTCGATTACCATTATGGCCATCAAGTGCAACAACTCGTAGTTCAAATCAAAAATTATTATCACAATCAATTGAATATTTTGATTTACGTTGTCAATTAACAGAAAAATTTAACAAAACAAATGCAAACAATACTTAATATAAATACAAAACAAAACATTTTATCTGATGAATTTAATTGGTTATCATCATATACAGTATCAACAACATCAAATGAATTACGTACAATTGATAATATTTTATTTATAGCTCATTTAAGATTTATTCGTACATTATTAACATGTGAAAATTGAATTGGGTATTGATTTTATACATTTAATTATTGATCAATTTTTATTTCCTGCATCAAAACGTATGTCATCACCAATCGTACTAAAAAATAATGAAAATGATTCATTAGATGATGGTGTACCTGAACCAAAATATTTAACAAGTGAAAGTCGTTTAGCTGCATATGATGTACTTGTTGAATCAGTTTGAAATTGTCGTACAAATTTAAAAATTGTTGTTGAGGATCTTATTAATCTTCATCATAGACCTATACTTGGAAAACAAACTGAATGGGAGTTTCTGCCACAAGTTAATCCTCGTGCACCTTGTGGATTAGTAGGATTTTATAATTGTGGTGCAACATGTTATATGAATTCAATTCTTCAACAATTATATATGTTACCACAAATATCTGAACATATATTAAGTGTTCCTGATGATCTTGATAGTGCTAATGGAACGAATAAAACAGGTGATTCAAGTCTATTTTATCAACTTCAACAAGTATTTGGTCATTTGATGAAAAGTAAAATGCAATATTCATATTGAAATTCAAAAAAATTATCTTACTTGATATTATTATTTGATTCTTATCATTGATTTTACTACATATTAATGAATAATGTCTCTATCACATATTAGAATTTAAATATTATTACATTTTATACTATTGTTCGACTCATATGATTCAGCTTAAAAGTATCAGTAATTTAGTATATATTAATAAATCATATGTTGGTCTCATTGAAAAATTTAAATCTTATTATACTTGTTACTATTATTTGACTCTCATGTTCAACTTAAATATATCATTGAGTTTATTATATATGTATTTAAATCATGTCTTTATCTAATACTGAAATTTTATGTTACTCCATTTAATCCGATTGTTTAAGATAACCTTACATTTAATCTGGTATCATAAGATTTTGTTATGTTGTTATACTTAATTGCAGTCTTTTACCGTCTATTTATGTTGAATTGTTACTAAAAAGATGATTAATTATAAATCAACTCATGTTTCCACTTAAACTCCTCTCTGAATTGGTACACTAATAATGTAAAAATTTGTTCGTCGTATATTTATGTTTGCTTTTATTCTTGTTTTCTTGTCTTGCTGTCTGTTCAAAAAGGAAGACATGTTTCTGTTAATGTTGTGAGAGATACTATACGTTAAGACCACGTTCGACACTCTCTCATTACCTTGAGCAATTACTCCTTGAGATCAAACAACAAGAATTTAATCTTTCATTTTGTTCCGAATGATGTGACTAGACGGGCCACGAAAGTTTGAATCTAAATATTTTTCTGATGAAAAATTAATAAAAATAAAAATGATTTTCACAGCATTTATCTCGTTTCTTTTTTATTATTTATTTTCTACTGCTCTTCCCTCTCGACTCAATGATATCTTTTCTTGCGAAAAAAAAATCGATTCATCTAATCCTGTTGAGAATAATTATAAGTGGTGAATTTCTTTCTTCGCTGTAGTAATTAGAAGAAGATCGTTTAGATTTCAGTTGAAACTTGATTAACTGTTTATTCCGAATGTATAAATGAAAATCACTCAATAACACATGCACATACAGATACAAATACATTCATAATGAGTATGACATAAAAAAATGATAAGATAAAAATTGATAAAAACCTTTAAAAAGCGGAATAATTTGTCCTGTTGATAAATTTGTAAATATTATTGATGGAGGCTTCATTATATTTGCGGTTGTACATCAATGGCATGCTCGGTCGCAACTCAAGGTTCCTAAAAACAGAAAAGTCAAATAGACGAGATCAAATTTTCTCTTAATCAAAAAACAAACAAATAGTGGCCATGATAAGTTATTCCTATATACTATTTTTTTATTTTCCCAAAGTTTTGAAGAAACTGGAGTCAAATTAGTGATGAACGACTAAGCATCATCAGTACCTGATTACTATCAGCCATGGTATCATTGAAGTGTTTAACAAAAATTCCTTATATACAATTCCGTAGAGCTTTCAACGGGCTATGAGCTCAACACTTCAATGATACCATGGACGACAGTAATCAGGTACTGGTGATGCTTAGTCGTTCATCACTAATTTGACTCCAGTTTTTTCAAAACCTTGCGAAAATCAAGATTTAGCACATATTATTCGACGTGCATCTCCTTTCTCTACAACGTGCTATAATTGGTTTCTTAATTCTGAATGGATTACCTTATTCGTTAGGATCATCTTGAAACAAAACCTTTAAATTTTCACGTTTATCTCTTGGATTATTTAGGCCGATCGAGCTGAAAATTTTTTTGTGATCACTTTTGTCAAATTGGAATATTTTTCTTTTCTCACAGCATTATACTAATGATTTGTAGCTAAATTCCGTAAAATTTGTCCTAAAAAGATGACACATGTGTTTGACTGAGTTCTTACTATTTTAGTTTATCTAATCTGAAAAAACAATACTTTTCGATGGCCCAAATATATGCGTGTGGTCTACTAAGTCTGAGCTGTTACAAAACAATTCAGTTATAAAAACCGAAGTTTAGATTTTTACAGCTGGGCACTTCAAGTTATTTTTAGTCCTTGCGTTCTCTAAATCTTATGGAAGAAAGTAACTGGGAGTTCTGATTTTATGACAAATTTTGCTCTACTAGTCGAGATTTATTCACATCGAAAAATTTTCAGATTATTTGATCTATTCTGAGAAAATTATGCAAACGAAGGAGATGCTCAAGAATACTGGAGTATTCATATGACGTCACTTTTCAACTTAGCTCATTTGTTAGTGTTTACCTTTTGGTTCATCAATGCCCTCATCTTTAGCGACCGTTTCATAACTCCCTAAAGGCCCAGATTGAGCATTGGTTGCTTGACCAATATCTTCTCTCTTTGTTGCAACATCAGTTCGGTTCGCATCCGAATTTGCTACTTGTTGATTATTTTGAGTCTGCCGTCTGCTAGGAAAGTTCTTAACTCTCACAGGGTCCTACGGCCACTCTCGAGTGGTTGTAGGGGGCGTCCCTGGGCTGCTAGTAGCCACTCGTCTGATCATGAGGCTAGCAATCTCTAGCTGGACATTAAACAATCTCTGCTAACGAAAGGAAACATTATAGGTGCGTTAATGCACAAAATCATGTCTTCTTCGGCGGATGGAACGTTAGATGTTGTATAAAGCAATCAAAGAGGGAAATAATAATCAAACAATTAAAAAAATATCAAATACAAATAGCCGCACTGAGTGAAACGTGTATGTGTGATTCCGGTGTAAAATTAGTAAGCGACTACACGATGATCT